AGACGACCTTATGGTAAGTACTCTCCTACTTCCTTCTTCCCTATGGGCAGTGGGGGGCAGACTCCGACATTTTTCCCATGTATGGTCACACATCTCGTCAGATGCTTGGGTACTGAACACGGTCAGAGGGTACACCTTAGAGTTCATATCCCTCCCGATACAACTCTCCCCGCCACGGGGCATGCTGTTTTCTCATCAAGACGCCTCCCTTGTAACCAAGGAGGTCTCAGAATTGGCACACAAACGGGCCATCTTAGAGATCCCCATGGCTACCCCAGGGTACGTAAGCAACCTATTTTTAGTTGCCAAAAAAGGCGGCGGCGTCCGCCCAGTTATCAACTTGAAACAGCTCAACACTTTTGTGGCCTACAACCACTTCAAAATGGAGGGCATACACTGCCTCCGAGATCTCCTCCAACCGTTGGACTGGATGGTCAAGTTAGACCTGCAGGACGCCTATCTTACGATACCAATCGCACGTCAGCACCAGGACTTCCTCCAGTTCATATGGCAGGGAAGGAAATGGAGATTCACATGTCTCCCTTTCGGTCTGTCCTCAGCCCCATGGTGTTTCACCAAACTTATGAAGCCCGTGGTGGCTCTGCTTCGAAGTCGAGGGGTTCGTCTCATAATCTACCTGGACGACATCCTTATCATGGGTCGTTCCAACCACATTCTCGACACCCATCTGTCATGGACTCAGACTCTTTTGCAAAATTTGGGTTTCCTTATCAATTGGAAAAAATCCATCCTAACCCCTACACGACACATAGAGTTTTTTGGCCTCATCGTGGACTCCACTCTACAGACCCTACAACTGCCGGCAGCGAAACTGTCCACCATGAAGAAGGAAATCAGGCGTACTCTGACGACCCCCCTGATCTCCCTAAAACAATTGGCGAGAGTGGTCGGCCTCTTGGCGCTTCCATACAGGCCATTTTCCCGGGCCCTTTACACTATCGAGCGCTACAGCGCCTACAAGCCTCCCATTTGAGAGACGGGACCGCATACACGGACATGATCGCTCTGGATACAGAAGCAAAGACAGAACTCAGATGGTGGCTATCCCATATGGACACCTGGAATGGCCGAGCCATTTTCGGTACCGAACCGGATATGATCATAGAATCCGATGCGAGCTTGCACGGCTGGGGCGCACGCTGTGGCACTGTTTCTACCGGTGGCAGGTGGTCCGAAGTGGAGTCGACGCTTCACATCAATTGCCTAGAACTCCTGGCCGGTTCTTTTGCAATCCGCAGTTTTTCTCCAACTCAAGCCCGATGTGCCATCCTTTTGAGGATGGACAATGTATCGGCAGTCCGTTATATAAATCACTTGGGCGGCACGAAATCGAAGGTCCTGGCGAATTTGGCACGAGACCTTTGGCAATTTTGCCTGGCACACGGCATTTCGGTCACAGCAGAGTACATTCCGGTTTCCTTCCCTGTTGGAGATGGCGATAGACGTACCCCGTACTCTCCCACACTTCGATTACCTACTTCGAGACCCGGACGGGTCCCCCCACCCCCTGGTTCAGCAAGACTTATTACACCTCATGGTGTGGCTGATTTCCGGGAACCTTACTCAATCGAAGGAGTTTCGGAATCGACTCTCCAACTTCTCGAGAGCGCATGGGCACCCGTCTCGAGACAAGCTTATAAATCTGCTTGGCGCAAATGGCACGATTGGTGCATGGAACGGAATTTGGATCCCATATCAGCTCCTCTGACTTCGATCCTGCAATTCTTAACCTCCTTGTTTGAAAGCGGCAAAGCATATCGCACGGTGAACCTCTACAGATCAGCCATTTCAAACTCACACCAAGGCATCGAGGGCGCACCGATAGGACGCCATCCACTGATATGCCGACTCTTGCGCGGCATCAGATTCACAAGACCTCCGCTACCACGCTATTCCGTACTGTGGGACGTCTCCGTCATCCTCAACCTCCTCGAATCTTGGCCAGATAACGCAACACTATCTCTGAAACACCTGTCGGCGAAACTGGTTATGCTACTATGTCTCATATCCTGCAAACGGGTATCAGACGTTAGAGCCTTAGACGTCACCGCACGGTCTTATACTCCGGAAGGGGTCGCTTTCGATATATCTCGGAGAACAAAAACCTCTACGAAGAAGGTGACATATCCAGCCTTTCCTGACAAACCTCGCTTGTGTCCGGTTCAATGTCTGCGAACCTATGAACTTCGCACCAAGGCGTTGCGGGACCCGTCTAGGCATGAACTCTTCATCTCCTTCCAGAGACCACACCTACCTGTGTCTACCACGACCCTGGCTCGCTGGGTCAAATGGATCATGGCTACGGCAGGCATAGACACTTCCATATTTTCGCCACATTCCATACGAGGAGCAATGGCTTCAAAAGCCTCTTCGATGGGTTGTCGCCTGGAAGACATTCTGAAAGCAGCCGACTGGTCTTCAGAATCTACCTTCCGTGACTTTTACTTCAAACCAATACACCACTTTGCAGGAACGGTAGTTTCTCAGCTTTAAACCAGCATAATAGGAGCCTCCGTGTCTTAATAAAATTCACAGATTTTACTATTACCATGACGTAAAGTCATGATTTTATTAATGACACGGAGGCGAGTATTATCCCTCCCTCCCACCCGGCGACGGGGGAAGGATAGACGGAAGTTGGGTAAGTTGACCTACGGTAAGTCATTTTACCATGTCTAGTTGTTACAGTTGTAATCGCCAGATGGTTACATTACAGTTATACTTAGATCAAGGTAAGTCTTAGCTACGATCACTGATTACCTATCTGGACACCCACATTTATAGGTTACACAACAATATTCACTTGGACACAACACTGACCAAACACTATCTTGAATACCTATGACTATGCATACACTAAGTTTTATGCAAAGATATTACCATATTTTTCCTCTCTTACAGCATAATCTGCCCATCTATTCCGGGAATACCATGTTCTATGCAGTTCAACGTTTTATTGGATAATTTTACTTCTTCGGGATTGCAAACAAAGAGGAACAGGATTGGTTGACAGAGCCTATTATGCTGGAGAAGTGGATCCTGATTGGCTGTTCCTGTTACTAGGAAGATTACACCTGAGACTGTTAATGTTATTATTGGTTATGTTTATAAAGTTTTTTCTTTGCTGCTGAGGGAAATAAAGAAAGAGTGCAGCATAATACTCGCCTCCGTGTCATTAATAAAATCATGACTTTACGTCATGGTAATAGTAAAATCTGTGAATTAAATAACAATGGAGAAATACAGAAAAATTAAGAATAAAATAGAAAAACTGTGGCTCAAAAAGATAATTGTTTATATTAGGTTCAGTAGGATGGTACCAAGATACGCTCACCCATACTACTTCAAGGGTAGAGCTCCCAGGGCACTAAGTGCAGTTATCCAGATTAATAAAAAAGAAACCGATAGTGTGAAGGGATGCTAAGGGATATGTGGTAGCATTGACGTGGTTGATAAAAGTATTCCATATTACGGATACGATGCTAATTCATATGACCAAGACGTACTTTGGGGATCAAAAACATATGAAGTGATCTTTACAACCCCCTATCAAGATGATTGTAATGTAAGGGTAACTGTGTAATGTAAATTGTCCCGGAGAATATTGGCTATCCATGAATAAATGGAGTATAATTGAACTCCTCATTTAAACCCCGAGGTGTCAATGCTTGGAATACGTGTATCCATTTAGATTATTGTTTTAGCAATTTAAGATTAAAATTGCCCTTCCTGAAATTTAGAGTGATTAGTTTAAGTGCCTGAAATTTCAGGTTGGAAACGTCACTACGTCACTATGTTTTGCCCACGTACTGTATACCACAGCTACAGGTGATAACATAGACTATTTTAGTGGAACTGCAGTTGATGAATTTCTGATAGGAAATTGTGCTTTCGTTTGAGTACATTCCACAATTTTGGATGGTTTCACAAAATTACACGCCGTACACTGTCCACATTTGAAAACTTCACTGGTGGTGGTGAGCCATGTTCCAGGGGCCGACTCAGGTTCCATATGCTGTGTACCAACATATCTCTTAAATTTCTGGGTCTGCGCGCTGTGATACTAGGGAATGGTGGTAAACGATTTGCTAAATCCTGTCGTGTCTAAGAATTGGCCCGTGGTCCCAATAGATCTGTTTAATAGGATGCCACAGTTGATCAAATGTGCCAATGCATCTAAATGGTTATGGTTGTTGTTCTTGCTTAGGTCGACTAGTCCTCAGCCATGTGGTTCTTTCCATAGAGATAACCCATTGGTATGTGCTTTTTAATACCTTATTGGGAAAGTCCTGAGTTTTAAAACATTTTTTCAATTCTTTAGCTCCCTGTAGAAGGAGTCATCATTGGAGCAGTTTTTTCTTGCTCTAAGGTATTGGCCAAAAAGGATTCCCCTTTTCAAGTTATGTGGATGGTGGCTTTGCCAATGAAGTAAATTGTTTGTAGAGGTAGTCTTCCTAAATAATTTGGTCTCTATTTTCCCATTTTGACCTAAAGAAATTTTTAGATCCAAAAATTCTAGTTCTTTGTCATCAATCACAAGTTAATTTGAGCCCTATATCATTTTGGTTCAGAGTCTGTACAAGATTTTTAAACGTACCCATGGGGCATGTCCAGAATAGAAGGACATCGTTAATGCACCTGTGCCATTGGAGGATAAAATCACCATACTGGGTAGCAATAGTTTGATTTAAAATGGTCTCCTACCACCACCCTAGATAGAGGTTAGCTATATCATGCCTCTGTTACACATCATTGTAATAGAAAACAAAAATGCCTGAAATAAACCGTCCATAGCCCAGCTATAATATAAGGTAATCATAAGGACACTAACAACCTGCCATAAAAGGTACCCACCACCCTCCAATATGAAAATCTCTATCTCTCTATAATAACAATTATAAGTAGATGTTGCCTTGTAATTAAAAAACATATTTCCATGTAATAAGAAGAGCTCCGTTTCCATGTAAGATCTAAAACTCCCTAAATATCCCATCTCTCAATAATGAATAGAACTCCATCTTTCTAAAATTAGAGTCCAATCTCTCCATAACAAGAAGCCCTATCTCTCTATACAAGTCAGCATACATGGGCTATTTCCCTGTTATAACAGCCAGCATTCTCCCTATAGACGGGCTAGCTCCGTGTTATAACTGGCAGCATTTGCCCTATAGATGTGCTAGCTCCCTGTTATAACTGGCACCATTCTCCCTATAGATGAGCTAGCTTCATGTTATAACAGCCAACATTCAACCTATAGATGGGCTAGCTCCATGTTATAACTGGCAGCATTCTCCCTATAGATAGGCTAGCTCAGTGATAGCCAGCATTCTCCCTATAGATGGGCTAGATCCCTGATACAACAGCCAGCATTCTCCCTATAGATGGGCTAGCTCCATATTATAACTGGTGATATTCTTCAAATAGATGGGCTAGCTCCATTTTACAACAGCCAGTATTCTCCCTATAGATGGTCTAGCTCCATGTTATAATGCAGCATTATCCCTATAGATGGGCTAGCTCCATGTTATAACTGTCAGTATTCTCCCTATAGATGGGCTAGCTCCATGATATAACTGGCAGTATTCTCCCTATAGACGGGCTAGCTCCATGTTATAACTGGCAGCATTCTCCCTATAGATGGGCATTTGGGGGGGGCGGCTTTTTTTGCCGCCCCCTGGAAAATGCCGCCCAAGGCAAATGCCTTGTTTGCCTCACGGCTAAAACGCCCGTGTGTGTGTGTCTGTTAGTGTGTGTGTGTCTGACTGTTAGTGTGTGTGTGTGTCAGTGAGTGTGTGTCTGTGAGTGAGTGTGTGTATGTTTGCCAGTGTGTGTCTGCGTGTGTCAGTGAGTGTGTGTTTCTGTTAGCTAGTTTATGCGTATCTGTCAGTGAATGTGTGTGTGTGTGTGTATTTAGAAGGCAGGGCGGGGGGAAGGGATGGATGGGGGTCGCGCGCGGTTGGGGGGCACCTGAGTTTTGTCCTGCCTAGGGCAGCACAAAACCAGGATACACCACTGGCTGGCAGCATTCTCCCTATAGACGGGCTAGCTCCGTGTTATAACTGGCAGCATTCTCCCTATAGACGGGCTAGCTCCGTGTTATAACTGGCAGCATTCTCCCTATAGACGGGCTAGCTCCGTGTTATAGCTGGCAGCATTCTCCCTATAGACGGGCTAGCTCCGTGTTATAGCTGGCAGCATTCTCCCTATAGACGGGCTAGCTCCGTGTTATAGCTGGCAGCATTCTCCCTATCGACGGGCTAGCTCCGTGTTATAGCTGGCAGCATTCTCCCTATCGACGGGCTAGCTCCGTGTTATAGCTGGCAGCATTCTCCCTATAGACGGGCTAGCTCCGTGTTATAGCTGGCAGCATTCCCCCTATAGACGGGCTAGCTCCGTGTTATAACTGGCAGCATTCCCCCTATAGACGGGCTAGCTCCGTGTTATAGCTGGCAGCATTCTCCCTATAGACGGGCTAGCTCCGTGTTATAACTGGCAGCATTCTCCCTATAGACGGGCTAGCTCCGTGTTATAACTGGCAGCATTCTCCCTATAGACGGGCTAGCTCCGTTGGCAGCATTCTCCCTATAGACGGGCTAGCCCCGTGTTATAACTGGCAGCATTCTCCCTATAGACGGGCTAGCTCCGTGTTATAACTGGCAGCATTCTCCCTAAAGACGGGCTAGCTCCGTGTTATAACTGGCAGCATTCTCCCTATAGACGGGCTAGCTCCGTGTTATAACTGGCAGCATTCCCCCTATAGACGGGCTAGCCCCGTGTTATAACTGGCAGCATTCTCCCTATAGACGGGCTAGCCCCGTGTTATAACTGGCAGCATTCTCCCTATAGACGGGCTAGCCCGTGTTATAACTGGCAGCATTCTCCCTATAGACGGGCTAGCTCCGTGTTATAACTGGCAGCATTCTCCCTATAGACGGGCTAGCTCCGTGTTATAACTGGCAGCATTCTCCCTATAGACGGGCTATATACTGGCAGCATTCTCCCTATAGACGGGCTAGCTCCGTGTTATAATGCAGCATTCTCCCTATAGACGGGCTAGCTCCGTGTTATAACTGGCAGCATTCTCCCTATAGACGGGCTAGCTCCGTGTTATAATGCAGTATTCTCCCTATAGACGGGCTAGCTCCGTGTTATAACTGGCAGCATTCTCGCTATAGACGGGCTAGCCCTGTGTTATAACTGGCAGCATTCTCCCTATAGACGGGCTAGCCCCGTGTTATAACTGGCAGCATTCTCCCTATAGACGGGCTAGCTCCGTGTTATAACTGGCAGCATTCTCCCTATAGACGGGCTAGCTCCGTGTTATAATGCAGCATTCTCCCTATAGACGGGCTAGCTCCGTGTTATAACTGGCAGCATTCTCCCTATAGACGGGCTAGCTCCGTGTTATAATGCAGCATTCTCCCTATAGACGGGCTAGCTCCGTGTTATAACTGGCAGCATTCTCGCTATAGACGGGCTAGCCCTCTGTTATAACTGGCAGCATTCTCCCTATAGACGGGCTAGCTCCGTGTTCTAACTGGCAGCATTCTCCCTATAGATGGGCTAGCTCCGTGTTATAACTGGCAGCATTCTCCCTATAGACGGGCTAGCTCCGTGTTATAACTGGCAGCATTCTCCCTATAGACGGGCTAGCCCCGTGTTATAACTGGCAGCATTCTCGCTATAGACGGGCTAGCTCCGTGTTATAACTGGCAGCATTCTCGCTATAGACGGGCTAGCTCCGTGTTATAACTGGCAGCATTCTCCTTATAGACGGGCTAGCTCCGTGTTATAACTGTCAGCATTCTCCCTATAGACGGGCTAGCCCCGTGTTATAACTGGCAGCATTCTCCCTATAGACGGGCTAGCCCTGTGTTCTAACTGGCAGCATTCTCCCTATAGACGGGCTAGCCCCGTGTTATAACTGGCAGCATTCTCGCTATAGACGGGCTAGCCCTGTGTTATAACTGGCAGCATTCTCCCTATAGACGGGCTAGCCCTGTGTTATAACTGGCAGCATTCTCCCTATAGACGGACTAGCTCCGTGTTGTAACTGGCAGCATTCTCCCTATAGATGGGCTAGCTCCGTGTTATAACTGGCAGCATTCTCCCTATAGATGGGCTAGCCCCGTGTTATAACTGGCAGCATTCTCCCTATAGACGGGCTAGCTCTGTTACGGGCAAATGCAAATATTACAAGTTTTAGAATGAAATGTTGTATTTCTTAAACTGTGTACTTTGTCTTTAAGAGATATTGCAAACTGACAAGGTGTTAGAAATGGAACATATTGTTATTCATAGATGTTTCTTTAAGCAATAACCTCAGTGCATAATATGTTTGCGCCATTTTGTCCCAGACGAATTACAATAACAATAATGCATAAACAAGCTTCAAGGCTATTCTACGACACTTGCAGTACACAATATACTGTGGTAACCCCAAGTTAATGGAACTTCCCCAAATCCGGGAATCTCCCGCGACTGTACACTTACGACTTGGTATAAACAACAGATAACCTATTCAGACTTTAAGATGCCATCTTGAACTAAGTCAGGAAAATTTCCATGACGTATACACCCTTTAGTTATGGCCTTGTATGTTTGCCAAATTAAGGGAGGTCCTAAATTGAATAAAGTAAAAGAAGTGTTACTTTTTCATATTTGAACTGCAGTAACCTAAAATGGAGACATCTAAGGTATAAATAGGTGTACTTTTAAATGTTAAGACACAGAGGAGAGACTTGGAGACAGACGCTGCTCCATCTTAAAATGACAGAGGCTGACATGATGACATGTTCAGAAGGGTATGTTAACCTATTAATGATATTTGCAAGCATGTAATTTAATCTTATAAACTCTGCTATAATGGATTTTATATTTTTATATAATAAATATCCAAAAAGACAAAACGATTGCTTCCAAGACAATCCTTATTTTATATTGTATTCTCAATTATTTATATATGGTAAATAGAGGATCTCTTACACTATATAAAATTATGGCTAAGATATCTGTATGGTTAGCCCTACTAAGTTCTATGCTTTAAGACATTATAGTGGTAAATAAGGGAACCACACGGTTACAATTGGCGACCACGAAGGGACTTTGTACTTGGAAGCTTTAAATATAAAATAAATACCTAGGTAACCTCTTATACGTAAGAGAAGACACAGTACTTTGTCATGGCACAAGTCTTGAAATATCAAGAATCTATTGAGCTATGTGTAGCCCAGACTCAGAGAGAGATCATCATTAGAGATGATTTTAATGTGAACAAGGCACTGTGAGTTCAGGTGCCAGGTACAACGTAATTAGCATAGAATGCTGAAATTGTGGATCTTAACTAATATCATAATAGAACAAATATACATATTTGGTAAACTCCCTGATATGCCTAATACACCAGCACAGCATGGCCCATTAGTTCCAGGACAGTGGATTGCAGACAGGGGATATGTTCTCTTTGTAGCTGCTTAGTATGCATGCGCAGGAAAAAGATTAATGCAAAATGTTGTCAAAAGAAAAGTGATAAGACAGAGCGATGAAATTTGAAGTCTAATTCCAAGAATGCAAAGAAAATTGCATTATGGCTTAATGAAAACATTCATGCAACAGACAGACAGGATTTTTAATTATTGCATTACTGCGTTCTGGATTCTAATGTCCACTATATATGAAAAGTTTTATAAAACAGTGATATTTTCCATATTGTCAGTTACGCTAGCTGTTGATTGAAAATCAGGAATTATAACAGCATAACTATTTTTGGAGTCTGGAATTTCCAGCCAAGGTTGCAGAGATACAGAGACATGTAAACATTCCAAGGAATTGAGAAGTCGTTGTTTTATATTCCAAATTATGAACAACATTATTACATACAGCCATAGAGAGAAAGACATGGCTATTAAATACATTGAGTGCAGTACAATGCAGTACACTGCAGCATATATATTATATAATATAAGATAACTAGCTTATATTTTTTCCTAAACAGAGTTGAAATTATACTACCCTCCTAGAAAAAAGGGCAACAGGTGGTTATACATCCTTTGCTTCTCTAAATGCTATGCAAAAATAAATATTTATAAAATTATTAAAAATAATATATGTAAGAAATCAAGGCAAAATAAAATGGTAACTATACAGGATCTCTGATAACTTTTAAACTGAAATTATTAAAGGCTTATTTAAATAAAATGTTAAATACATTTACAGCTTTAAATGTGACCAAAAGAT